GTTTTTTTGCTCGTTCCGCGCTGTTGCACTTTGCTTTTGCAGCAAAGTGGTTTTCCTACGAAGCCGTCTCTTCACGCTTCGCATTGTCACTCTTCTGTTTTGTCATCATCGCGAATGACCACTCTGTCCTGCTTGCTATGAGATAAGCCTCGACTGGCATACAAGAGATCCTATTGATCTGGTATCCAACGAGGGCACATGCAAAAAGGTACGACTTGCTAAGCACGATCCCGCGTCTTCGTGCTTGTCTGACTCGGGAGCTATCTCGTTCGTTCCAGCGGCCACCCGTCGCTGCGTCAAACAGCCTATGAACACGTTTCTGGCTTGTGTCTTACAAACCGCTCTGTCTTGGATAGTTTGTAAGCTAACGAGTGGTAGTTGGCGCTTGTAGCAACCCCATGCGCTTTTCTTGAGCCTTCGCTTCCCCAGGCTTCATCGTCGCCATTACGCACACTCGCGCGCTCGACACCTTCCCGCTTTCAACCGTCGTCGTACACCCTACCTACGTCATCTTATGAGAACCCGGCCCACCATGCAGCAGAACTGCGGGAGCATCCGTCGGCGGAAGGAGATGCGTTCCCAGCCGACCAAGCCCGTCAACACAGCTTCCTCTTTCGGACCTGGCTTTGCTTCACGGTCGGCCATGGATGTCGACGACAGAAGTGCTTCCACGTCATGGCATAGCTCTACGACGTGCTTGGATGGACAGATGGAAGAGACTGCGTCAGGACCACGGCATGCGGTTGTCGAGGTCAGATCAAGAGATGGAAGCCCAGCACGAACGTTATCACTTTATCACTCCACCATCCCAGAAGAGCTCGCAGGATATCTACGAGTTATGATGCCTGGAGAGACAGGAGTGGAACAGTCTGGCGAGGAGCTGGCAGAGAACTTCCTCGAAGCATTAGATCTTCCGCCAGTCACCAAGCAGTCGTTGAGCGAGTTGGACATTCAGAGCATCATCACCAACATCAAGTTACGGCATGACGTCAACTTCGACAGAGACCTCAGCTTCAGACCGAACGTCGATGGCGTCAAGGGACAAGAGAAGGAGAGAGTAGCAGACAAGTACTGGGGAGCGTTGATCGCCGAACTGGTACTTTACAACCGCATGTTCCACGGTACACCACCCCTGTCACCGATCCAAGTCGAAGCTTTCACACCATATGCGCAACGGCGGATACCGATATTGTTCCAGAACGTCCGCGATGTTCTCAAGAGCCTGGTTCCCGATCGCGACCATTCCAGAGTGGACGAGCATCTCGACGTTCCCATGCTGATGCAAGCTATCGAGCGAGGAGTGTGCGATCTGGGCCGCTTGTCGGAGTGGATGGCGCAATTACTCAAGGAGCACTGCGCGCCCATGCGCGACATCCTGGTCGACGAGATGGTCACTTGCACAAGACTGGGCGAGGTCGACCGCAACCTCGAAAAGATCGTTGAAGGTCTGAGAAAGCTGTTCGGCATTCTGGAGGCCATGAAACTCGTAAGTTGTTACATCCTCTCGATATGTGCTTAAACTAATTCGGTCTAGGACGTCGCGAACCACCAGATCAGGAATCTGAAGACGCTTCTGATCGAGGATAGCGTGAACTTTGAGAAGCACTACCATCTCGACAGACTTGTCCACGGTAGGGCAAGGGTCAACATCAACACGGCACAAACCTGGTTCACAGACGCCGTTGATGAGTTCGGCCCACAGTGCTCGCCACGACCCCGAGCCGGCCCATGTTTCGAGCTAGAGGTCTTCACTCGCGCAGTCACAGCGATCACATTCGGCCGAGACGGGCGGAGCGACTTCCCCGATACCTTCTTCCTGGACCACGATCGCCTAGCATCGCTGAAAGCCGAGGTTGATGATCTCGTCATGTTTGAGGTCTGCATGGAAATGTACACACAACTCGCCCGACAGCTAGGCTACCAAGGATCGATGACGCTGGCTATCGGCCAACAACTCCGCACCGCCCTCTCCGCCATCATGGGCGAGGCCGTCGGCCACGGCCCCCAACAATGGATGCTGAACTCCGAAGCCCTCTCCCTAGAAATCCTCCGCCAAGCCTCACACCTCGCCGGCCAAACCCCCTCCTGCAGCTTCGATCACATGGCCGAAGCCAACCAACACCTCCGCACTCTATTCATGCGCAGATCTTCCTGGCACGCCTCCCGCCTCGAAGCGTCACTCCTCCCCCAGATCCTCGCCAACGTCGACCGCCACAGCACATCCTCGCCGATCGAACTCTTCAACGCCCTTGTCTCTATATCTCCTTCCATGCCGCCTCTTCCATCGCTTTCAAGACCTAACATCGCCGATACGTTTGCTTTTGCGCATTTACATCCTGAGACGGCGAAGTTGACGGATCTCGCTAATCGGGTTACGCATATTATACTGCTGCATTGGAGGATTTGGGGACCTATTGCTTATGTTCAGGAGGACGGCTCGCAACGCTCTTCAACCGACGGAAGTGCGATATCGAATCAGGTATCGCAAACGCAATCGCAGTCACGGCAAGTGGGTTCGAATGCTGAGAAAGACGCTTCTGTTCCTACGAGTATGCGGACGGGTGAGAAGTTGGATGCGGGGCAGGATGCGCATGTGCAACATCAGTCGCTTCCGCAATAACACCCATCCACTTCCCCTCCGTATCGCATCCCCACACATCAACACTCACAATCACGTCCCCCTCCTCCCTCCTCTTCCTCTCCCTTCCCATTTCCCATCTTCCAAGGCGTTCAAAAGGCTTCACACGAACGACTACTACCGGCGGGACCTACACACACGGCGCAATAACGGGTTCTATGTTCTTTTGCTTGTTTTCTGCTTGTTTTTTCCACGATACCACCTTTTTATGCTCACGGCGCTGCGGCAACACTATACGTTGTAATAGAATGTTCTCAAGAAAGTTCTGATGTTGGGTTCGTTGTTGTTGTATTTGGCGATGGGATGGTATGGGAATGTAGCATTAGTGGAGTATGATTGAAGAGAGAATGAGAATGTTACAAATTGTCATGATTTTGTACGTATAGGTGCGACCGCTCTTCTGTGATTGTCTTGGATATATTCCAGCTTCTTAGCTCGCAATCAACCACCTGCTTTCTCCCTTCAATGTCGCTATCGTATGTACGACAAATATGCTAGAACGCACCTTTCTTATTGCATACCCCAGTACCTACTACTGCTTAGGTTTAACTAGAACAAGGTCAAGAGTATATATAGGTGTGTATAGTACGTACAGGCTGCTTGCGTAGTATCCTGCAACGCGATCATATGTAATGTAATGTTACCGCATTATAGTTCTATTTTAGTAGTAGCGGGCTGATCGAGGCAATACATATGATCTACGCCGAATAAATGTTGACTTGCTTTCTAAGGTAGCCAGCTCGAAAGTGACATACCGTAACATTGAGAACTACTAACCGAGTATGTCTACATGTTGAAAAGTCTTTCCGGCAACGAGGGTTGCGGCCACTGTGGATTATCCTTCCGCGCAGCTTTCCGACCGTCACGCGTATAGTACTCTGGGTGGCGGAGAGCGTTGTGGTACAGTAGACTTCTCTTGAACCCGTCGCTGTTGAACATGCCCGCCGTGATACGTGCACCAGCTTTGATAATCCACTCCAATTCGGTAATCGAGAGCTCTTCTCGGAAATACCCATGCAGCAAGCTTTCGCAATAAACATCCAGCATTCCAAGCCCGTAAGTGTCTTTTGCGGCGAAGTCTGCCCTAGCTTTCTTTAGCCCCCGAAGAATCTCCATCTTGTCGTCTACGCCGATGCGCATTCCCATCACATAATGGGCTATGGGTCGGCTTTGTTGTTGGTTCCTGATAAGGCGGGTCGAGATTGGCACCGCAATATTTGGATCTACGCCGTGGCTCAGGAGTAGCAACATGATCTCCTTAATTGGGTAGCCATAGGCACATGCCTGTAAGAGTCTTTGGGTATATACGGCCGAAGTCAAAGCATTTTGCTTATTGCCTGCTCCATCGACCCATTGGTCTTGGCCTTTCGTCCTGTGTTCAAGCAACAATTGAACCATCCCAGGCTCTGCGCAAGTCGCAGGCTCTCTAACATTGAAGATGCTAGGGGGTGAGAGGGCGACTATCAAGAGAGGGTGACCTTTTCTCTCATCCAGTAGATCTGGTCGTTGGCTCAATTTGTCTTGGACAAAATGGTACATATTGGCGACCACTGCGTATGCGAGGAAGTTGAAGTTCCAATCATTGTGCGTATGTTGCGAGTAATGATAGTATGCAGGCCAATTCTCTCTGCGCAGAGCAATCTGTAGACAGCGGTCTATTGCTTCCAAGGTCAGCATACATGAAATGCCCATCGTGGCATCGGCATTGGGTCCATGGTGTAGCACCGACTGCGCGATGACTTTCAAAGGTAGTACAGACGTAGGCTCTGTAACTTCATCTCTTGGCCCCACTGACCGATGATTGCATGTTGGGGAGGTCGATATGTGAAGGAGTTGAACACACAAGTCCAGGATATAGATGTGACCATTGTCCGCTGGACGGACGCGGCAATCAGCATAGTTTATCGTGGCATCTGACAAGTCCGCTCTCTCGAAAAGGTAGTCCAGATTTCGTCCGTCCTTTTCTAACAAGTATTCTTTCACGGATTGATGAAGAAGCTGTACGCGCCCTTGTGCATGTACTAAAGTACCTTGATGTATAAGTGGGTCGCGTTGCTCGAAAAACATGGAGTCGTCCCCAGCGCCTCTTAGCTTCGAACTTTTGGTTCTTTGACTCCCAGAACTCTCCTCTTCTGATAAGCGCCCACTTTTCTCGATCCGATGGTATGGTATAATGTAAACCTCACTCTCTGCGGTCGACGCGGATTCACCTTCGTCAGGCCACTGTCGCTCTGAGTTTCGACCCTGGACTGCAAGCAACCCTTTGCACGAGCCAAGAATACGATCCACAAAGTCCCAAGCACCCTTTTCAATCGCATTTATTGATCCTTGATTCATTCGTGACTTCAAGCTCTCTTGTTCACTAAGCTTGCGAGAAACCTTGTCTAGTCCCAATGTCAATACACATGCGAGTTCCAGCACTGTCAAAGGCCTTTTCGCACGCAGAACTGTCTCCAAGAGAATATAGGTCTCTATGCTTTCGGATGCTGGGACACGCATCAAAATATGGGTGTATAGGTCGACAAGACCGTCTGGAAGCTCAGCTAGCCTTGTGGACAACGTTGAAACATCTGCTGTTCTGCGGCGCTTCACTTGATCTAGAACGTCCTCAATGACAAGCCGCACCCATAGAAAGACGCCTCGAGCTCGATGGACCACGGCGGCCTCTAGTTTTGGAACGTCCTCGCGGTCCTGGAAATGTTGCAAACGAGCTTGGAAGGTTGTATCTAATTCGAAAGAACTAGTCACGAAGGCTTTAATGTCCTCCTTCGTCCATTCCTGAATATTAAGATGCGGATAGGTACGAAGAAGGTCGTCGAAGGGTGGATCAGGCCGACTTGCCAGGAGGATTTGGAATTTGAAAGTGCGGGTTTCGTTCGGCGCCGCAAGGTCTTGGAAGAACCGTATCATGCCCTCATCGTCGCCACTATGCTCATCAAGTGCATCAATCATTAGGAAAACATTCCTTCTGATGTTATTTTGCGTGGCCACAGCTCGAATAGCCTTCTGCAGACCTTCCATAGTCCATAGCCAATTTTCCATGCCACGGCGTTTGGTGAGTGGTGTTTGGTAGCCACTGGAGCTGACGCGTCCGAAAGGCGCGACTAGTCGGACCAGCTCTGCTGTCTCTGACTCCTCTAGGCGTGGACAACCTAGGATAAGTTGCTTCAGTAGAGCCCGAAGCATACCAAGCATTGTCTTTTGCTCGCTGGTTCCGCGATCGTGGAAGAAGAGAGCAACATGCATCCATGATTGGTTCTGCCGATGAACATCTTGCATTCGGTCGTGGATATACTTCATAGCAGTCGACTTCCCGGATGCTGGTATGCCACGGATCCAGAAAATACCTTCCTCTCCTTGGATCCAAGGCAAAAAACCATGCCGCCGTTCTCTTCCATCAGATCTGAAGACGGGATCCTGGAACAGCCAGTCCAGAGTTTTGCCGTGTCGCTCTACAATAGTGGAAAGCCGGGATTCGATCCGATCGTTGTCCATTTCTGCTACCTCAAGACTTTCGATGCAGTCTACAATAGAGGTCAGGTTAGCGTTTGCGAGCATGTTGAAGGCGACGCATGTAAAAGACATTGTTTTTACATACTGGATACTTCTTCTGTCTTCTGAACACGTTCGGACTTGAAATAGGCCCTTAGAATGACTTTGACGGCCTCGTAGCGTGGATCCCTTAGCCCTGTGAACTTGCACATCTCCATGTGGTTACCGGTGGCCGAACGAGTAGTCTCCCTCTTATGTTCGAGTATTGCAGATGTTTTGTCGACAACCTGCATCCATCGTCAGTAACAAACCTTCGATCATCTAAGCGCTCGACCTCATACCATCCTACTCATGGGCCGAAATGTGGAGAGTCCCTTCGTTTCATAGAATGAGTGGATTTCGAAATGACCTTGATCAAGCATCCTCCAGAACTCTTTCCGTAAGAGTTCCAGTACCTCCGAATCATGCCTGAGGTTGTTGATGATCCGGGGACTGGCCGAATGACCCAACACTTTCACAGCATGAACAAGAGCGTCGCCGAGGTTGGCATAGTTACCCCCTCTATGCGGCGTTCCATAAAACAGTATTCCGATTGTGTGCTCGAAGACCGTCTTCAGGTCGATTCTAGTCGCATCACGCGATGCCCATAATGCCTGCGGCAATGGCTCAGCAAAGGGTTGAGACACAGCACAAAACTCCTTACACGTTTCAGGATGAGCCCACCCAATGAGTGGACTACGAAGACAACAGGCCGTTCTTTTGCGTCTCCACGCTGGTCAGCAAAAGCGTTGAGCAGATCGTCGCCTAGTGTTCAAGGCGTTAGACAGATGCGACAGATCAACATCGCCAGATGAAGCAGTTGCTACATACCGTGGTCTATGATGCCTCGACGATCTGCGGCCTCGAACAGCTTGAACACGCTGCAGTCATATCCATAACTAATTTGATTAGTAAAGCTAGCAACGAAGATCTGAGCTATTGCCTACGTCAGAATGCGAGCTTCTGGAAAGTCCTTGGCGAGCTGAGCATGAGGCCAGAAGAATTTGGCCTTCCCTTGGTCTTTTGATCGCTTTGATCGCTTAGTGCTGAAGATTGTTTTGCGCGATCTTTTTGCATTTGCTGGCGATGGAAGTGGGCCAGTCGTTGTTGATGTTTGCGTCTCCTCCAAGTCGACTTCAGTCGATGTCCATGTCGATTCAGGATGGCCACCTAGGCCGTGAATGAAAACGATGCTGCTTAGCGTTAACGCGGCCGGCTAATGGTATTTCGCGCAACCAAGGGAAGCATACGTACTCTATCATGGGCCGTTGACCTCCACTGGAAAGCGTGGTGAATCCTTCGTCGCGCACCCGTACATGAGCCTGAGCCTGGGCTTCTGAGGTCGCGAGATCGCGCGTTCCAGTGCCGCCTGAATCCATGGCTTGAAGATTAAACTGAGCGAACAGAAAAACCTGGACAAGGCTACGACAATAGTTTCGAGCGAAGACGGCCTGACAGCTTAGAAACGTACGTCTCAGGATCTGCACGTGCTCTATAAAATCGAGTTCAGAAATAGCCCAGCATTGCAGCCACGGCGTTGCGAAGGCGCAAGGCTGACCAATTGAAGGACCCCGATGCCATAGAGGCGTCAGAGATGCCTGCAAATGAAGGATTTCGTACCACACAAACTCAGCCGAGCTGAAGAGCTCAGATGCGATGGATGCGCATGCATACGCTATCTTTGCAGTGTCGTCATTCGTTGTTCTCGTTCGAGCCCGCAGAAATACGTGGCTCTATGCTTAGGTGCTGCACGAGAGCGGTCGCGACCTTTGACCAGCTGAGTAGTTTCAGTAAATGGCGCAAGGAAGCGGATGTAATCTGTAGTTGTCGCCCAGCCCTAGCCGCTCAAGGCAGCTTCGCGTAATGTGGTGTTGAGTTGCGATTGCGTGACCAGTTTTCGTTACCGCGTGGCCTACAAAGAATACGTAAATCTGATACCGCATACGAGGCAGGAGGGTCATCCTGGTTTCGCTCCACCAATGCGCAATGCTAGATTGCAGTATCGCGGTGGCAAATGGTCGAGGGTCGTACTCCGGAGTATAGCTAGTGCTCATGGTGGGCGTTCGCAGGCATTGCCCAGGTGCCGCCTTTACGTTAGCGCTTACCTTGCGGCCCCGCCCAAAGAGCGGACGGTACCGTCAAGCTGCCGTATGTAGAAAACTCAGATGTTAAGCTAGGCTTAGAGCAATCGGGCTCATCAGTCGTGATGATGCACGACTGGCAGCACCATAGACATGAACATCTGTTGACATTGATATGGTAACTTTTTCGATTGCCCATCCTTCCGCGTACGACCGTAGGATCATGAAAGATTAGGCTTCCCGTCCGTCCAGCAATATACAAGCGTGAATAGACTACAAGTCTTTGGTTCAGGTAACTGTTAGGTGTCGTGAGATAGATTGGTACTTTGCAGAATACCTAAATCTATATTAACGACGTTCTGGCATGAAGTCTTCGTCGCAGTAATGATATACAGGGGCTCCAAAAGCCTTCCAGTCATCGACAGAGCAGTTCTTGCAAGCGCGTTGAATATCGTATTGAACGTTTCTGTACCCATTTCTGTACCAATCCGAACCTTGTGCACTTGTTCCACATTTGTGTCTGAACAACGTTTTGCGGAACCACACCAGATGTTCATGAACTCTGTTTATACCAGGCATTGTCAAAGTAGGCTTGATCGCAGCGTACAAATCCCATTGAGGATCTGACACAATCCAGAGTAGGATATCGTTGTCGGCATCTCGTCTTCCCGGATAGAAGGTTGTTTCTCTATCCTGCATATTTTTATAAAAGGGGTTTCCTAGAGTTTTCTCTCGTCGTCTGCTGTCCCAAAAGACGGTTACCATCTTCACAAGATGTCGGATTACCCACGTAGCATCGACCTCTTCAGATGCTGGATTAGTGATGTAGGCGCATATTCCGGTGGACATCGCTGCTGCGTTTTTGATCGCTGCTGCGTTTATGAAGACACAGTCTTGGGCAGGGTCTGCTATGCAATGGGGCTTCACGGTAAGTGAATGGATAGCCTTCGTGTATCGAAAACATGGTGCGTAACTTTTGCGAAGTACCGCTCGTGGATTCTCGCAAGTGCGTTCGATGAAAGCGTCCAGTGTTCTTGCCCATGACGTGATATCGCGGTCGCTGTGGAAGCTGAGAACGACACGACCATCCAATTTTTCTTGTTCAGATGCGGTGACACAAAGCACGTTAGTCTGGTCGCTGGCGTAACGCCGAAAGTAGCTCTCGGGACTTGAAGCCCAGGCTTCACGCAGCTTGAGCTCAAGTTCGTCGGCGTGAACAACTAGCTCTTTCTGCGCTAATATGTCGTCCATTCTCCACATGCCCTGGGCGACTGACTCAGTGAGCGCAATATACGTCAACTCTCGAATAGGTGCACCGTCACTGTCCTTACGGTATCGCAAATTAAGCGAAACCAGGATTTTCTGCTGTGGAAGATCCCTGTCGTCTTTGGTGTTTTCGAGCCCGGTCCATGCCTGTTCGATGATTTTGAGTCCCTGGGCGCTTGATAAGAAGAACCAACAGCGGCTCGCATCGACCGTTCTCAATTCTTCCCGGCTCGCTTTCATGATGTTTTTCTTAGCATCATCGTCGGTTCCGGTAATATACAGCCCTCGTACTCGTGACTCGTACTTGGCACTTTCCCAGACCCTGATATCAACATATTTTCCAGTGCTCTTGAAGAGAGGTTCGAAAGAAGGCACAACGGTGGAGTTTGTTGCATCGAAGGCTGGTTCCGCAAGCACCTGAGCCGTTTCAACTCTGCTAATGGCAGCGAAAGGTCCATCGCCAATCCGGGAGTTTGCGTAACCAGTCCTTGAGAGGATATCAGGGTCTGCGGTGACTGTATAGGATGACTGCTGACCTTTGTCTATTACAGACTTCAGTTGTCTAATGATATTGGGCCGGTAGATATCACGCGCCCAATCAACTATATAGTCCATAATGAGAACCAATTGGAGTGCTGCATCGTGGCCGGTGATACTCCCCTCCCATAGGAGGATAACTTTCTGCCGAGACATTAGTAAACCATTGGAAAAGTCATGTATCAACTTACGTAACAGGGTAGATTGTCTGGACTAGACTTTGTAACGTAACACCCATATACCCTCCACTGCTCGCCAATGTACGCAAGAAACCAAGATAGTGGGCCTCCTGGCACCTTCATCCTGTTGTCCTTGTCATCTTGGAGTTGGAGCTGTAGGTTCAGATGATTACGTATCGGTATTGCTGTTTGCGTCTCGATCTCTTTCCAATTGCCATCGCCTTTGAGGCTTTTGGCTTCCATCGCTAGGAAAGGGTATATGCAGGGTTGGTCACCACCGTCTGGATTGCAGCTCATGGTCAGTCTCTTAGACAAATATTCGAGCGCAGTGTTCTCTCCCAAGTGGGAGATGTGTAGTTGCTGCAAACTCTCCGCCATGGCTTCAGTAGTCCTTAGTCCGTAGACTCGATCAGGCTTCTTCTCAATTCGATGGCAATTCTCTGGGTCATTCTGAATGAAGCTTCGCTCGCCAATACGATAAGTGAAGATATCGGTCAGTCCTGTACTCAAACTAATCACATGATCAGCTGTGATTCGCTTGTTTGGTGAACCTATCAACTCACATGCTATGCTGTTTTGCCAATGGCTCACACGAGCATCCTGAACGACGTTTCTGACGCTCTACGAGGGACATCGTTCGACTATTACTATGTTTCGGATCCACCTGGATGCAAGATTCCCACAGACGTCTCCGACATCCTTGGCTACCTTTGGTCAGCGTGCGAGACATGAAATAGATCAAATGTATCATACCATCCAACTTCGATCTTAAACCGTTTAAAGACGTAGGGCTCAAGTTCCATTCTCCAGCTATCCTCGTTCTGGTAATCATCTCTCGATCGAAGAGCCCAGTAGATCATCTGCTTAGCCCGCCTCTTGTTCTCGAGCTCCCATGGCTTGTCGATGGTGTCAGGTCGAGGTTGTATCGCATACGACTCGTAGCTCATCTTGCCCAGTTGCTGAATATGCTTGAACTTTATCTGATGTTCTTCAGGGACATCTCCTGGATGCGGTGGGTAGAATTCCGGATAGAACTTGATGCGGAACTCTTTGGTGTTTGCCTCGTCATCAGCAGCTTTCTGGCAAGCTGTTCGTTTGTCGGAAACAGCATCCGCTGTCTTCTTCCCTTTCCGTTTCTTTGGCGCCGGATCCGCATGTGTAGCTGAAGCTCCACCTCGTTTTCTCTTACTTCCAGTACTAGCAACAGTCTTCGAGGCTTGCGCATTGCCCCTGGTTCTCAGCGTCGGAGCCATGAGTGCTGATACGGAAAAGGTAATGAGATCTGGTGTAGTCGGTCTGAGTCTTGTAGGTAAGCTATGGCAACTTTGCTCCTCGACAACAAATTGCGACAAAATGTGGTGCGGCTGGCGCTGGGAAGTTACGACTAGATCAGCCGGCCGGGGTTTGTATAGGTGCCTTGATTCTTGGGGCCAAAAGGCCCAGCAGCAATCCTTCGCGCAGGCAGCATGTTTCGATGCAAGTGCTTGAAACCGCCTACTAACTACATTCCGCCCCATCTTCTTACCCGAATCTCGCTTCCCCCACACTAGCGCGGATGCGACGGATGTTGGTGGTCTGAGCGTGCATCAGGGGGATGCGCGCATCGACGTTCTGATCCATGAATCACTTCCTACACTTCTCACGTTGCGCGTCCGCCATAATTTGCGACTGCTACGCGTTCGTTGTTGGTGTTGTTTCCCCACGCGCTCCGTTTTGCTGCGGGCCCCCTGTCACCGCCCCCGAGCTCGTGCGTCATAGATATGACATCCCTATCCCGCCTCTACTACGATGCCACACAACTTGAGGCCATTGTTACTTGGTGTATGCGCGAACAATGCTACCATCGTCACCATGTACCTGCTAGGCGGCACCTTGACAGGTGTAAGGGTCCGCTTATCTCTTGCTCCATAATCTGATGCTTTCCAGGGCATGTCAATCCTTCCATCATCCAAGCCACTGGTCGAGCAGGCGGTCGATGGAAAATTCCATGGGGAAGTATCCGATAGCATCGGTGGGTAGGAAGTCGATCCAGTCACTCAAGGGGCCACGAGGATCGATCATGCTCACGGCTTTGACGAATTCCCAAGACTCTGGATACCAGCCTGCTGCTTCCCAGTCGATGATGGAAGACACTCGAATGTTCGTGTGTTCAATTTGAACCACCTCACCCTGCACTGGAATAGCTTGGCTATGCTCCGGAGTCACCATGATATTTCGGGGGTGCAAGTCACCATGAGTCATTACAATGCGATGATCGTCCCTCATAGAGCTCCGAAGCATCTTGACCCATGGCGTTACTGTTTTCGTAGGGTGCTGGAGAAGAAAGTCGTTGAAATCCGCTTCAGTGCGTACAGGGGCTGAGCTTATGCGTTGAGTTCTCCTTAGATCTTTGCATAATCCAGACGTAAAACTCCCTAGACGTACACCGGATCCAGAGTCCTCGGCGGTAGGAGTGCGGAGGAGCCGGAACAAAGAATTTAGCTGCTCCTGTACGGATGTCTTTTGCGTAGTGGAGAGATCGGGCCAGACGCTTTCAAGTGTAGTGCCTGTTGCTCGGGACATGAACAGACAAGTCCTTTGGTCACTACGTAAAACGCCTAGGCAGTGGGGAATCGGGAGCTTCGGCACGTGTGTGGCAACGTATTGTATATTATCGATATGATCAGGATCAAGAGACTGGGCGACTTTGACTACATGGCTCGGCCCGAGCTCGATGACGAAGGTGTCGTGGAGCTGAAAAAGGATCTCTCCGCCGCGTATTAACTGGTTGAATGCTGCCGCCATTTCTTTAGGTATATGGCTGAGAATTTCGTCGCACTCGGCTGTTGCATGTATTAGACCCAGGACTGATCGGTCCAAAGTGTGAGTGACTTTCACGGAGCCATCCACTGGCAGGTCCAGTAGCCCAGTCGCAACGGAAGGCTGTGGATCTCTGTTGTGCGTCACATCAACTGTGGATGAGTTAAACGCTTCGGTGAGCTCAACGACCAGACGAGGATACGCTGTTGCTTCTCGCTTCAAGACTTCAGAAATATCTGCAGCAGGGTCGTGGCTCACCATTGAAGTCAATTGGCTAAGCGTGGCTTCATTGGCTAGACTGCGCGCCTCTCGAACGGCGACATGGGTGGCAGTAAGCTTTGGATCCTCTAAGTCTGCTGCGTGTGGCATTTTGAGCGTCCTGAAGTCGTAGATAGTGACTTTGGACTTTTCCTTGCGGAGGTGCCCAGGTGGAATATTCATTGAGAGCCGGGCGTGTCACGAGGGTCACGCGTAAGCTGAGGGGCGCCAAGCCACTAGTGTCTCCCCACACTAGCGCGGATGCGACGGAACCTTGGAATTTGCGGCCTCAGCGTGTGTCAGGGGGATTTCGCGCATCGACGTACTGAACCATGGATTACCTTACTTCCCACACTTCTCATTTTGCGTATCCAACATATGCATCATATGCGACTGTTACCTATATCTTGTTGTTGTTGTTTCCTCAGAGGTTCTCCGTTTTGCTGCGGGTCGACTGCAGGTGTCACCGCCTCCCGAGGTCATACGTCATGCGTCATGAATACAATATCCTTCACCCCGCGTCTCGATACTAAACGAAAGGCAATGCCTCTACAGGAGCATCGCATATTAGATGCACCATAGCTCGGAATCTTTCATTAATAATCCTCGCATTCTCACGACAAACACCAAAAGCGATACAACTTTGGGCGATTGCTACCTAGGTACCTGGTCTACGTCAGATCAATGTAGCCATCGTCACCTTGTGCCTGCTGAGCGGTAGCTTATAGGAACCTACACAGGAGTAGCGGCCTTCTTAGTACACTGACACACGGCATAGGTCGAAGAGAAATCAAGTACCGACACCATTGCGACTGGGCCCTAATAGTCTTTATCCGAGCCCAGGATGCAGCGACAGAGCCTGTTCATACGGTTCTTAAGCCGACCATGTCAAGATGACTCATTTCAAACCATGTAGTAGTCGCGACGTGTTCTGGGTATAGGCGCAAAGTCTAGAGTAAGTGTTTCAAAGGTACCGGAGAGCTTGGCCAATCACGAGTCCATGTCGATATGAGGTACAACATCGCGGAATCTGGGGTAATTACCAGGTGTGTATGGGTAAAGGGCGATTACGAACGAAATCACGAGCCCAGTATCCCGGTCGTTGGTCACTACAGGACGGACATAATGTGCTCATCGCTTCCCATTTTGAGGAGTTCTTAGGTCTATCGACAGCAGCTCGTGACATCACGTAGAGATGCGACCCTCAAGCATCACAATATTAGCCTTTCTTGCTGCCACTGTCCATGCCCACGGCCGAATTACCCAAATCACGACATCTAGCGGAGAGATATACGAAGGCTGGGATCCCGCTTCCTCGGACGATCTTATACCTCCGCATCCACTTACGGCATGGTCCGCATCAAATCTCGGCAACATATACGTCCCACCCTCGCAGTTCAACACCTCCAACATCGCCTGTCACTACAACGCTATACCAGGCGCTCTCCATGTCAACACCACCGCCGGTGACGAGCTGAAGCTACAGTGGAACGAGTGGCCAGTATCGCACGTCGGTCCCGTCATGACGTACCTGGCGGACTGCGAGGGTAGCTGCACGAGCAGGACAAGTGAAGATCTGGCATGGGTGAAGATCGATGAGCTTGGATGGCTGAACAGCACAGGCTGGGATACATTGGATCTCGGTGGCACGTGGGCAGCGGATGTGCTCATTGCGAATGAGTATTCTTGGATGGTCGAGATACCGGAAAGACTCGCGGAGGGGTACTATGTGTTGCGACATGAGATCATCGCCTTGCATGTTGCGGAGAACCTGGATGGTGCTCAGGCGTATCCGCAGTGTGTGAACTTGCGCGTTTCACGGAAGTCGAGTGAAGAGGGGAAGAAGCTAGTTGGTGGTGTTCATGGTAAAGATTTATACGGCATGAAGGATGAGGGTATACTAGTGGACGTGCATCGGCAGCTTGCTGGGTACAAGATCCCGGGGCCAAAGCTATGGGAAGACGCAACACGTATACGCCAGCCCAATCAATGATGCTGCATTCATTTCATACTGGGAGCGAGTCGACTCCTAGCTTACTCGAAATATTCGACTCACCCAAATGATCATATGATGAGTTCTCGAGGTATCTTACCAGCAATATCACCAACTTGGTGCCTGACCAATCATACCCGAGACTTCATGAATTGTAGAAGGCCTTCTGTCTTCCACGCTGCCTCTGGGCGGTCAAAATTCTCACTACCAGTCGCACGTGCATCAAATAGTAAGTCTATAAGTTGCGTCAATCACGAAAACGTTTGAGACGCCTTTGGTCTCATCTGATCTTGTAGCAAGCTGAAAAGCGCTCCGAGTGAGTTGTACCCTAGGTATCTTGCCACTACTACGGTGTCTCTGACAGTCGATAGGCATCTTGGAACTACTACGAATGAGAGAAATGCTGAGTTTGAGTGAGTACTACAACTTCACAATCACTGTGCCGGGCGTTTACGAAAGGCTAGTCATCTCACCAGCCCGTCCGGGAAAAGCATTGCGCAATGGAGGATGAATTATTGCGCAATGGGCGACGATTGCGACTATAACTCCACCTTCAGTGTCTCCTATCCAACGCGCCCAGGCCAACGCACATATATAATATCGTTGTCCGGACCCGACGCACATCACTTCTACTCCTATCTCGACCCCGACATCCAGCCGCAGAAAACGTTGCAAGCATGCCTCAGTTACTCGATCTACCGATAGAGATCTTCCAGCGCACGATGGCCGTACTGGTAAAGAAGCACGGTATAGCAGCGGCGTGGAGGGCCCTAGGAGGCAGCCGTAAGTACCAGTACAACAACTCCACACATGATATCCAAGACTGACAAACTGCGACTTCAGGGGCGTTTCGCGACTTTATCAAGTACGCTGTTCTCGCCAACCCCACCCTGTACGCCTACCTCAAGACGCCTGCCGGCCGCAAGATCCTCAAAGAGTACCTCGCCGACTTCCTCTTCGTGCGAAGCAAGAAGCTCAACGGCTTTGTACGCAGCCACGTGCCGGATTTCATCCGCGATGTCGTCCTAGCGATGAGTCAATGGACCGCCAACGACGTGGAAGAGACTGCACTCAGGAAGGCGCTCTGCGAGCAGTTTGTTCGCCGCCATCCCGACGCGTTCAGATACGTTACCACTCGTGTCAGCAGACTGGTTGGCCACTACGCGCGATCCTTTTCGGTCACTGAGACAGCCAACCTGGTTGCTGCAGCCGCCGCAACTGGAAATCTCAGCGCACTGAAACACTTCGCGCGCACCGAGCAGCGACTGTTGTGGTCACAGTCACCAGCGTTTGGATACCCACTTGACATCGCGGTGTATGCGGGCCAAGATGCCGTAGTCAAGGCTATTGTGCAACAGGCAATCACTAACCAGAGTCGAAAATTTGCCGGACGGTCATACACCGAGCACTACTCCTTCTGCGAAGCTATCCGCACTGCTATCGAGCTGAAAGACATCCGCATGGTGAAGTATCTCCTGAGCAAGTACATATCCGCGTTCGGCTTAGCAGAGGAATTCTGCATGAAAGCCTGGCTGAAGACGACAATCGAGTTCGGCGACGAAGACGTACTCAAGCTCATTCTTACTGTGCCTTCGGGATACGGTCCATCGATCATATACGCCGCCTTCGAAACAGCATGCCGCCTTGCGAAGCCAGATCTCCTCCATCTGCTGTTTGGCTCTGAAGTGAGTCAAACCACTCTATCGATCAACCATGTTCAAGGCTTCACATACCCCCTTCTCACCGCCGTCGAGGCTTGCGCAACGCTAGAAGATGCCATCTTCATCAAGGAGCTACTCAAGCTGGGCGCGGACCCCAATGGTCCTGCGTACCTAGCTGATCTCGATCGACCCCTCGTAGCGGCGATGCGTGACAGCAAGACCGCCGCTTGTTTGATATTGCTTGAAGCTGGTGCTAATCCGCATCTGGTAGCATGTACGAGATGGGTGAAGAGGATGAGGAAACTATACCCCAGGGATACGGAGGCGGGCAAGGCCTTGAGGAAAGCCCTGAAGACATGTGAGAAGCCCAAGGTAGCTAGGGATGAGGACTTTCTTGTTGAGGTAGTCGAGGCGGACGAGGACGTGGAGATGGACGGAGATGACGAGATGGAGCTGTTGAACACCTAGGAGCCTGCATTACGTCGGTACTATGCCCTACTTCCGCTTTGAGAGCAGCGTAGACTGTAGGGCCTCATGGAAGTCACTAGATAGCCTTGTGCTGTAGCAATGTAAGAGGTATGCAAACTTGTGCTTTTAGTAGACTGCGAAGAACCACAGTCCACAGTTGATCGCATTAAGACAAGATAAGATGAAAGTGACTAATGACGACAGGGGTGTGCGCCGTGGGAGTACGGCAAGAGGAACGAAGAGAGGACGTGGAAGGAGAGTTTTGGTATGGTGGGGCTTCCGCGGGAGTGACAAGGCGGATCATCGGCGTTTGTAGGCCGGTGTTTTGATGTTGTCTGTAGGGCGTAATTCTCAGGGGTCGGTTGTAGTTGAATCCGTCGCGCACGATCCCGGCTTCCCGTGTGGCGCGAAGTTTGCTGCAACCTCATGAATGGGATGCCGCATTCGGAGCGGCACTGCCCGTTTGCCGCGCCGACACTCCTCCAGCTTTTCCTGCTCGATCCTTTCTCCAAAGACACCTGAGTACTTCCAATCTTGCAGTGACGGATCATTACCTGTTGTAACCAACACGCACCCTTGTTGGGGTGCGCATCGCCACCCACGCACGGCCGCAGTCAAGTAATCATTCGACGCGCACGTCTTCCCAGCCGTCCCGTTGTCACAAGCCTTCCAGAAGGATGGAGTCGCGTCGCCCCGTGATACTTTCTGGTCTCCTGTATGGTCGCATAATATAAACTCACGTCACTTGGACAGGGTACAATACGATCAGCATCCTCATTCGACAACGACAGTCATTTCTACGTATACTCAGCTGTTCAAGTAGACTACCCAATACCAACATCTCAGCCTCGTGGCTCATATTGCCCCCAGATCCGAAGCCAGTAAAAGAGACCCGCGCACCAACAGGATGTACGCCCCGCAGACAGTCCTGGCTCGATCCTAACGAGGACTCAGGTCGTAGTTACTTTGGACGGCCATACAGGCTATCGCTGGTTCCTGCTCGAGCTCGCCACTCGCAATCTTGCGTTCTAACTCCGCCCTTTCCTCGCGGTGCTTTCTCATATTCTCGTCGCGCTCGTTCTTGGTGCCGAAGGTTGGGATCAGTCCTGCAGGAGGGTTCATCCACTGCCTACAATCGCAGTATCAAGTCAGCTAAAATTCCGTCTATTCAATCAGCATACGATAGTAGGCGCGACTTACTCCTGTGGAACCGTTCTGCCATCAACCCCGCGAAACCTATCCTCCTTCTCCTGACTCCAAGGACCTCTGTCCAACCATGATTTGATCAGCTCTGTTGACATGGGCTTTGCGTCGAAAATGTTTGTTTGAGTGACTTCATCGGGCGGCCCAGGTAGGTATTCGATGATTCTCATTACCCCGTCTCTGCAGATCATGTGGAAGTGATGGCTGTTCTCGCATTCTCGCATAGAGTCGACGAAGATCTCCAGCGGGTCTGTCTTGACTCTCGCTTCGGTAGAAGCGGTGGCCTGCTTCATGCCGCCTTCTTGTTGACTCGGATCTGCGGTTGAAGGTTCCTCGTCGTTGGCGTTGAATCCTTCCTGGCTCCGCGGCTTTGGCGAGGACGACGAAGACATCGTTGATTCGTGTACAGTGGGAAATAGGATTCAGGCAAGTAGCACTAGCTTCAGGTTTCATTAAACGCAACCTCGGGTAGAAGGTTAAATAGAGTGGTGGCAGCAGGCGACGTGATGTGCGCGAGAAGAGGATGCAGTGCGCAAAGGTTGAGATGCGGGGCGTACTTATAGACGGCACACTTAGGTAGTACTGACCAACAGCATCCTGCATGACGCAGCATTACAATATACCAGCCTCGCAGTCATGTGACGGTACCCAGACATGTACATCGAGGCCTTGGAGGAATTAAGAAGAGGCCCGACAGTGGCCTATAAAGCATCTACCTCTCGCCGACGACATGAGAATTCTCTCAGCACACTACGGTTCAACACATTACTACTCACAAGACCTGTTCATCATACAACAAATTCAATATGAGGTTCTCGATCTTTGTATCCGCGAGTGCAACCTTTCTGCTAGCAGCGGCAGCGACCACGAACGGTGCGGTAGGCATCTCAAAGACCACATTCGAACAGCCACATACTTACACTGCGACTCTAGTCGCTTGAAGAAGCACTCACGAACTTCAACGAGGGCGAGTTGATGGATATTGGAGCCGATGGGGTGCTTCGCAGCTTCAACGCAGCACATGACACTGTGGTGGACTATGTGCAGCTTAGTGAGCCTCAAATCGCTGAGCTTCTTTTGAAGATAGGCTCGAAGAGACCCGCCACGCCAGGCGTGTAAGCTTTCCCCTTCACAATCCTCTCCCCATGACTACAGTGAACACAACTAATCTAAAGCTCAGTGACGGACGTACTGTCACGTCTGAAGCTCAGCTATGGGCTGTCCCGGACGGTATCGTCGCACGCGACCCAGGCGTCGGAACTTCCGAGGCAAATGTGCCAGGGGCTTTATCTTTGCACTCAAGGGCGCCACAGTGCGATTCTGGAAGAAGCTGCGCATCCAAAAAGATATGCAACGAAAAGTATCATTGTGCCCGCTGTCTTTTCGACACCGGATGTGTTGGTGGACCAGGGGGCTGTTCTGGCTCAACCGGGCAGGGCAAGTGCGCGTGGAACTTGTGAGGGCTGGTGCTGAGGACTGACTCTTCTACCGTTGACTCTGCTTTGGAAATCATGGCTCAAGCCTATCACACTCGTTAGCATCCACTCAAATCAAAGACATTTCCAGAGCATACAGATTTTTGTTTGCGCGATTTCTCATGTGACTGCGTGGATGGTTTGACAAACATTGCACGACTCGACCGAATGAATACTTAAGGCTACACTCTGACGCCAGGCTTCTACTACTTTTCATTTTACACAAGCGCCCTATATATCTGCCCTTCTCGCTTCTCGACTTGGATCACAGACGTCTGCCCAACACCACTTGTCTATACCTAGGTAATTGACAACCACAATCTACCACAACTACCTCTTCGAAACACACATCCAGTCATGTCGACTACAGTACTGGTCAGCGACCTTCCCTCCAACTGCGAGTCTTCCTACATATTCACCGAGCTACGTTTGCAAGAAGACGAAGTCGAAGAAGTCTACACACGAGCGGGAGGAGGCGAGTCCGCCTGGATAGTCTTCAAGTCCCGCGAACTCGCCAAGGTATTCGAGAATGAACACAAAGGCTACCACTTCGGGGCAACCGGCAAGAAGATCGCGACCTCATTCTGGACCGAATCTATTCCCGAACACGCCACCAATCGCTATTCCGACTTCGTCCGCGCCCGGGATCACCAAATACTCTCGAGTACCGTTGAGATTACTGGTCTTCCCGACAAACACACCATGAGTAACATGAATGAATTGTTCAGGTCGGTGCGAGACCAGTACTCTGAGACCACCGAGAAGAGTCAGCATCGTAATCCAACCTACTATGACTATAACGAGCCCATCAACATTCTTCAAGTCAAAACCCCCGATCCAGGAGTCGGCCTTTTGCAGCTTGCGCAGCCTTGGATGGCAGTCGCCATTGTACAACAGTACGCGGGTACTTACTGGAAGAACGCGACCCTCAACGCTCGATGCGTCCCTGACGAAGAAATGGAGAAACTGCTTGTCAATGAGCCCAGCGCCACTGACGTATCGCTCTTCGTCAAGGGCTTGAAGGTCGGTACGTCATCGAAGGAGGTGCGAGATATCTTCAAGGACTTTCCCATTCGCGATGTCAACATACTACCAGGCGGCAAGACGTTCTGCTTCGTCACCGTCCAGCAAGCACACGCAGATTCGATCCTGGCGCAGTTCGAGAATGGCGTCAAGTGGCAAGGTCGCACCATCAAGGTGGACTTATCGGACAAGGACAAGAGGAAGAAGAAAGCCGAGTTTGGTTCTAGCGGCGCCACTCCCATTGCCGCGCCAGCTGCGCCAGCTTTCCTACCACCTACGGATATCACGGACTTAAAACTGAGCAACCTCCCGTACGACGTCACAGAATACAAAATCCGCACCCTATTCGAGGGCTTCGCCGTATACAAGGTCGTCATCATGTCCGGCCTTGCTTTCGTGGGCATTCCGACAGGGGAAGTCGGCCGCGCGATCAATATGATAAACGACACGATGATTGGGGCTCGATACATTGAGGTGAAGGTTGCGAATAGCCGGAAGAAATAGGGCTGCAGGTCTGGTCTAGTGCTGTGAAGGCGTTAAAGAAGTTTACGAGACGTCGGAAGCGGGTCGTTGCGTGTCTTGTATCTGTCAGCTGGTACGTTGATGGGTACTCTGGAAAGTTTGGACGGCTTGTAGGCGCTTGGGTGTGGTAATGAAATACTTCCGAATGTATTCACTGCAGTGTATTATACTTGCAATTTCTCTTATTCGTGAGAGTATCTTTTCGTCAAGGTTGTCGATGTTGCGGAAGTCGTGAGTGGCTCGTTTCGCTCTGCGTCATCGCAGTACCATGGGATGAAGTGGATGAAGTGGATGGCAACCAAGAGATGTATTCACTGCAATGTCGCCCTCGTGATGGATGTTGCCTAAGATCACACTGACCACTCCGTGTATGTGCATGCTCGAGCTTCTATAATCCTAGAGTATTGCGTTCCAATAACACTTGCTGCTGAGCTCAATAATCGACCAAACCGAAGGTTCAAAGCTCAACCATGACAGACTACACCTACTACAGTTCGTCCGCTTCCAAAGGCTTCACCTTCCTGATACCTTACCATGTCCAAGCCATCTTTGTCAGTACTACGAAGAAGTTACCTTCCGCCGCCCGCCCCGTGTACCGCGAGTATTTTGGCGACATCATGGCATGTCGAGATCGAGCCCGAGACTCCGCCGAGGGGATGCTAGCGTTCGTGAATGAGGACTTTCCGGAGATTTCGAGGGACCATAATCGACTAGCGAATCTGATGAATGCGGAGATTGACAAGCAGAGGAAGGAGGTGTCGGTCAAAATACCAATTACTGGGGACGGAACGATGGCGGGGGAAGATGAAGACGATAAACCGTTGGCGGAGTTGGACAAGAAGAAGCAGAGTCCCACCGAGTCAGGCAAGAAAGCGACATTGAAAGCTGTGTCAGAGGCCGCCGCGGAGGCGACAGTGCGCGAAGAGCCCTCTGAAACAGCTTCTCCTCCGACTGTGGCAAATACAGAGCTTGTTCGGCCAACTCTGGGCCAAGGCCCAGGCCCTGCGACATCTCCGACGCGTCCAACAGGCGGAGACCGTGAAGATTCCGAAGTAGACGAAGAAGACAGCGAGATGAGCGTCATATTGCTCGACACATCAGAGCCTTGGAACGATTCGCTTTGGCCACACGGTACCTGGATCGATGGTCTAGAAGTCATCGATGCGCTTCCATGGGGGCAGCCAAGCCGACCAGATCATATCGCCCCGGACGGCCAGTCTCCCCACAACGAGCCACAACATGCCGCGGCTAATCCTCATTCCTCTTAATCCCAGCTTTGATGTCCCAGAAACAGGTGACCTGCAGCTTTCCTCGACCGACGCAATCAGGGTTGTCGCAGTGGAAGCGCGAACATCGTTCTCGGTAGCGGAAGTCGATGTTGTTGAGGCAGTACATGCACGGCCATAAGTCGACGTAGGGGAAGGTGGCCTTGATCTCGTACGTAGCGTTCCTGGGTCGGGTCAGATCAGGAAGCGCTTAGAAATGACACGTTAGCACTCACCTCCACTTTTGGATGTCTTCTCGCGTCAAGCTGTGCGATGCCGGAGGGTTTTCTTGTCTGAGGGTCGGGGTATCGCTTCGTTTGGCTGTTGAAGCGCCTGCATTCGTGGGTGCTGGAGCGCTTTGCTCATCGGATTGCCGAAGCTCACTGCTTCTCCGACGATTCTCGCGTCTCAGTCGTTGGGCGTTCATGTCTTGTGGTTGTTGGGTTCCCTGAGCGCTCGGTTTTGTGGCATTTCCGTACCCGAACAGCGGCATGGTCAGCTTCGTGCGATGAACGCGATAGAAGATAAAGAAGTGGAGTTTAGGGAAGTCAAAGAGAGTGTTAGCTGTCCAGCGAACGAAATTTGTGTGACGATATTCACTCGCGTAGCGCGTGGCCTTCAACCACGTAACGGTGAACTCTGGGTTGTGAATATGTTTGGTCGTCGCACGGTTCGGAAAGACATCATGACGCATACTGTACCAAATGTTCCACGGGAAGCTGAACACCACCTGATCTAATAGTGGCTTGACAAAGCGTCTTGGTCACGCGGCGCATGTATCTTTCGTTGATCTTGTGAATTATCAGATGCCGTGTTGCTGAATATCGTTCGCATCTCCATGGGTGGCTCTCCAGTACAGGCTGAGTACGGCAGGGTGGGGTGTGGCTGACAAGAACTGGAAATCATTCAGTCGCTTTTCCAGTTGGGAAGAGGGCTTCTGCACGTGAAGCCAGGCATCTACTGTAAGCGTTGTCTTGACATAAGCGACGTATACGTCAATGACGACCATCGCGGTGCACCTGGCTGCATCCGTGTGTTCCAGGACGGAGATGAAAATCACATTCGGCGGGATGCACAAATGTGACTGGGCTCGAAAGTCATCGCGACGGCAAGTTGATGTCTTTTTCGCACAGGTGGAAGGTTGAGAGATCGTTGCCGTTGTCGCGTAAGATCCAAGCCGCACCAAGACGCCATGACCACCGCGTCGGCCGAGATTCCTCCGACCGCCGATGCCGACGGAACTTCAATCACCCGCAGGCAAACCTCCATTCTTCGACATCAACCGAGAGGTATCTGTACACTATTGCGTGCCACCCTTTCCCGACGCGCAGGCGCTCACTGGATCCGATCTTCGCGACGCCTTCAACTCGCTGTCCACGCTCTATCCCTGCCCCACCAGCCTGACTATGATCCTGGAGGCCACCGGCGGGGTTGGGACGTCGTATCAAAGAGCCGGTAAGCTGTTGTTCTCGCACCCGACGCACATGTCGCAGACTATGGTAGTGGATCGTTCATGTGAAGAGCAGCTCATGGTTCCAAATGATGCGCGGGCAGGTGCGATCGATGTCTCGTTCCACGTGGCTACGCTCAACGATCTGAGCGCCGGAATCGACTTTGTAAAGGGTATGTATCCCCATCTGGAAGCCGTTTGGTGTGTTTGTATTGCAGCCATGGTACTGCCATGTGCCAGTTTTCTCACTGTCGCTGTGCGACGACGAGCTAGCGCACTTACGCATGGGTGATGAGTATAGCAACGAAGATGAGTTGGGTCATATACAGGAACATCATGGCTGGTTCTGTTCAATCGCGCGCACCGCACATACTAATGCAACGAATACCTTTGTGGAGATGGACTATTGCGAGAACATCGCGCAAGAGCGGGCTAGGGGTGCTGAGTATGCACATTCGACCCATTCGGATCATCACCTATCTACGAAGAGTTCGGATGCAGGCAATGCGCATGGAATTATATGGGTTACTTCCTGTAGGTTCTCATTGTGGGCGATACGGCAGCCTTGCGTCGCTCAGAGATCTTCGCGGCGTCGCTACTGTATAGCGGTCACCATGTCCAGGAACCCTCAGGTGCTTGAACTCGATATTGCGCTTCTTCATTTCACTCTTGTGATTTGGCTGAATGATATCACAATAGGAAGCAGAAATCATTGCTGATGCTGGGCACGTTTAGCGCCGTATATATTCCCCGACTCTCTCACTCCCAGGTCCTCCGTCCACCGCTTCACTCCTCTAGCTACTCTACTTTAGAATGGCCACAATGACACGCCGCCAACAGCGAAAGACCACAGCGCCGGCTAAGTTAGGGAATCTGGACCTTCTCCTCTTCGCTCTACGAGCAGAGCTTGGCCCCGACTGGGGATGCTACAAGGAACTCATAGAAGGAGCTACAGCTGCGAAAGCAAGTGGCGAGAGTGTTTCCGCCTGGGTCGAACAGATCGAGCCGCTGGTACGAAACACCGCTTCGCAGTTCGCGCATCAGGGAGTGCTCTTTCTGTTAGGCATCAAGGTGGGTAGTGAAGGTGAGATGTCTTTCCCTATCTAGTACCTTCACGTCAAAACTAAACACTCTCAGCTTCTTCTGTCGCCAAAGTCACCAGGGCAGCCAACGAGGTTTCCACTCCACCCACTGAAACCCGACGCCCATCGCAACCAGCTTCTTCCGTCACCAAGGCCAACAACACGACCAACGACATGTCCGCTCCACCTCCTGACATCCGACGACCAGCGCAACCAGCACAGCCCTCAGCCAACATGCAGAGCAACTTCAACCCCACCTGGACGCCCATGCCCTCACCCAGTTCAAGCAGCTACATACCGCCGACACCCACCCCCGTCGCATCCAGGAAGCGCTCAGCCGCCAACGTCGCCTTCCAAGGTCAGAAGCAGGCTACCGCAACACAACCCCTCAAATCCGACTGGTTCGGCGGTTACGTCCTTCATCAAGATCCCGCCTTTCGCCGCGACGTATTCGAGTTCTTTGGCCACGCGGTACCCGACAAGCCCGACCCGAAGCACCACGATCAATCCGATGTATCGTCCGTGTGTAAGGCCGCGGATGACGATCTGGCGGTTTGGAGGGCGGGCTCTGGGGCTGAGCGTGAGGTGAAGGACGACGGCGCGGAGAACGTCAAGGACAGGACCAAAGTTGTGGAGGATGCGACGCGAGAGCGTGTGCGAGAAGGTTTGCGATACAAGCTTTTTGATAAGTTGGATTGATACTGGCCACTGATGAGGTGGGCGCTTTTGAAGTCAGGCGTCTGCGCGGGCTGAGCTAGTGCGGAGACGAGCGACGTACGATGTTATGGAAGGGCAGATGAAGGACTTTTGGAGAGTGCGATACACGATTGAGCTGGTAGGGAAGGCGTTTGGCGTCGCTAAAGGACGAATGATACCCCCGGAAGACTTGTGAATGATACTTCAGAAAACACACCTCTCCTCCCCCATCCATCTATGCAACCAACGCACATCCACCCTTCACTCATCCAAAGTCTACTACCACGTCAACCAAGAAAAAAACCCGAACAGGCCTGCAGCTTACATTAACATGGAAGTATGGAAGATAGATGGCGTGGCGTCGATGTAGGCTCCAGACCTGTCCAGGTTTTTTTCTTGTATGAGGTGCTACAACTTCTCCGCCAACCCCCCTCTCTTCGCCTCAAAAGGCACCGCCAAATTCTTCTCCGCCCACTCCTTCTCCGCCTCCGTCCCCGGCATCGGCGGCACCATACCATTCACCTTCCACAAATCCCTATCCACGTCCTCACAACTATACTCCCAATCATACCCTTTATCCGCAATAAACGGCTTCAGCGCCTTGTCCACAGCATCCATAAAGCGGTGTTTGTGCTCGATTGAAGTACTATTCTCATGCGTCAGCATAAACTTCCATGGGAGATGAACATAGGGATGTAAATACAATTGTCGAGCAAGATGCTCCATCTTGATTCGTATCATGGGGACTGAGCTATCACGCCCGGGCTTGTTGGCCTCGGTGTTGGCAGAGGGACGGGGTACGCCGCCGATGAAGAAGGATTCTGGGTGGATGGGCTGGAAGAGGACGTTTACGTAGAATTTGGGGAGGCCGACGATGGTGTAGTTTTTTGTGATTTCGTTTGCGAGGGCGGTTTTGTCGGCGAGGGAGGTGAAGGTGTTGGGGGGGTGGTATATTATCCAGAGAGGCATTGCGATGGTTGTTGAGAGGTTATGAGCGAGGGGAATGGGATGATAGACGATTGTGTTGGTCTTCTGGATAGGGGGTTTACTACGAAGCTTATATAATATCCATATACATTCATACCGAAGATGTAGGTTTACCTAGGCACTATACACGTGATTTGGAATAGTAATCACGACCGAGTGGTTACTAAGGATAACGCTAATCATGCACCGTATTGGGACTAAGAAGAGGACGTAGATCTTGGTATACCGCGCAATGACGACTAATCATGAACTTTCGCAGTCTTCTGGGCTTCGCTCTTGGATCTGAACTCTTTGAGCGATTAACTTTGGGTAAAACCATCATGGTGATTCATCGTTGCGCGTGAACGTGATTTTGTGGGAGTTTATTCCCCCGCATATTGTTACTAGACGGGTATCACTAGTACTGGATAGCAGTCTCGGGACTAGCGTGATTGGTAGACTACTATTACGTCCGTAACAATCGTTGGCTTGCCCGCGTTGAGGTATGCGGCTCTATTCTACAACGGACCCGCGTTCACAACTCCGCCACGACCCTTCGTACGACTTCATCGAGATCTTCCTCTTGCAGCCCTAGCAGATCATTCGCAAAGCCTTCCTTCTCTTTCCAGTCCGCAGCGACCACCCCCCACACTGCGACGACCTCTTCCCTCGCCTCACCGTCTCCACTCAGCATCTTCGGCCGAGAAATATCCAGCTCTTCCTTGCTATTCTGATCGATGCGCTCAAACTTGTCGCCTGTAGCCTTCTCCAACGCATCAAGAACCTCGAGTTGCGTGACATGGTGGCTGTGGACATAGAGTAGCTTGTTGGCGGTTTCATCTGGCTTCTCCAGGATCTTGATGACTGCTTTCCCGATGAAATCCAGGTTTGAGGCGGAGAACTTGATGTTGCCGCCGTCAAGAATGTATGCTTTGCGAGCCTTGACGTCGAACTTCAGCAGTCCGCAGGTCATGCCCCAATCGAAGAAGTGACCTGTGACAAGACTCGTCCAGGTAAGCGTTCCCATGCCATCTTCCCGCTCCTTGCCCTCCAAAGTCAAGAGGTAATCTCGGACGTCCTTCTTGCCCTTCATCAATGGCAGAATCTCATTCGTCTTGTCATCCGCAGAGTCGCAGCTGCCGAACTCAGCGGGCATCACGCGCTTCACGCCGCCCTTGAATGCGGCATCGATGAGCTTCTTCTGCGATTCGACATGGCTGCCTGCGATGGTGATGACGAGGGCGTCGATCTTGTTTTCGCGGAGTACCTTGGCTACGCCGTCAACGTTGAGATCGTCGGGGATGGTGATGACTCCTGTTTTGGGGTAGACGGATTTGGATGTTTGGCGGTTGAGGACGAAGGTATCGAACTCGGACGTTTTGAGCGCGTTGAGGACGGGTGCGCCGAGTGTGCCTGTGCCACCGATGAGGGCGACGTTGCTGATGGCCATTGTGTGGTGTGATGTTGATATATGGCAGGGTTGCGGGGTGAGACCAACGCGTCCGGTTTCGTGGGGAAGGTGCGATCGGCTACGGGCGCATAGTGGCGGTCCTAGTTAATCGCTCAGAGGCATCCATCATGTCTTTCGAACGCCGGATCGTACATTGTGTGATCTGTGTCTCTAAATGGGCGGGACAAGGTAAAGCCGGTCATCGCGCGGGAGATAATGCGTTCGCGTGTGTTGACATCGATGATGTCATCGCACCTTCCGACGGCTACATCGCCTGCTATCGCGCTCTTATAGCGCCAGCCATTACGATGCCGCAAATACATCTTTTCGTAGCACGCAGTTGCTGTACTACACTCGCTTCCGCGCCCAGTCATCAATTCTCACATAACAGGCCGCATAGATGTGTCAGCTATGTACGCCACAGGCTGCCTGGACGCGCAGGTGCGGGGTGCGGACGTCGACAACCAGATCAACATCTAAGCTGACTGAGTGATGATACTATACCTTCATTGCTATCCTTTTCATGTCCCGCTAAACCACTTCAATACCAACGGTTATGCGCTGACCAACGCTTGTCGCGCCATCGGAAGCCGCACATCTCGACAGCCTTGAGATTGCTTCACCCTGTTCCACCACAGCGCAACGCGCAGAACCTCCATCGTCGAAGAATTTGCCAACTTGCAATGTAGAAGACTCGAAACTCTCGTACCACTATCAGCCGATACTTGCAAACGATGAAATGCGCGTCCTTCGCCTGGAGCCTGGCGCGTTCGACGAGCCTCTCATCGGCAGCCTCGTGGTGCGGAAGATTGGCGATGACGAAGAAAACCCACCAGCCTATGACTGCGTCTCCTATTGCTGGGAAGTCCAACGGCACTTCATGTCCTTCGATTGCGACGGTAAAGCTCTTCGTATCACGGCCGCTGTGGACGAGATGTTACGAAGCCTCCGGAAGCCTACAACGCCACATCATCTTTGGATAGATGCTAGTACGTATCAATGTATGCTGCAACGCACCATGCATTCTAACCAGTGTCATAGTTTGTATCAATCAGGCCGACAGTAAAGAGAAGAGCCAGCAAGTGCGTGCAATGAGCCGAGTTTATGCTCTAGCTCACTCGGTGCGGATCTGGCTGGGCCCAGCAACTGACGAAGAAATGAATGCCATGGTTCCGCTGTTCGGCTCACGTATTGACGGTATGAACCAGGTCATAGATGAGAGACCCCACGAAAACTCCGCCGACAACACATTCTCAGTATTTGCGTTGAGGGAGCATTTCTTCTCTCGTCTCTGGTTCACAAGGCGATGGGTACTGCAAGAGGTCGTCCTCGCCCGTGCGATTACCGTCTATTGTGGACACCACAAAGCGTCATGGGACCACTTCCGCAGAGGTATACTCAATGGTTTGTGGCCTCATAACGAACAGGGTATCTATCAGAGTAGTAAAGTCGCAGTACACGCTTTCGATGTTATCTACAACTTAGACATGGAAAGGATATTGGCACTGAAATATACGGCCATGGATCTGGATAACGAGAAGACTGCCATCGTGACGATACTCAATGCTTTGGCAAAGTATCATACAGCCATGTGTTCGGATGAACGCGACCGCCTGTATGCGTTGTATGGTCTGTCACTAAGGCCAACGTTGACCGGCGAACAAGAGACCAAGTTGATGTGGGAATGGCCTGTGGACTACAATGATCACTTCTCGCGCGTCTATACCGATTTCGCCACCGTAGCGGTAGAGGCCGGTCATCTTTGCAGCATTCTTGGACAAGCGATTGAATTCGGAAGACTTTCCCAACAGCAAGAAGGCTGGCCTTCATGGGTACCAAGTTGGAACTCGACGATGAACCTGAGAAATGCTGAACATGGACTCACACTCTACACGAAGAGGCTCACATCATTGCTTGACATCTACAGCCCACCCCACTTCTGGTCCGCCGACTACATAGAGCTAGAAATAGAAGATAAAGCCAAGTGTCTGCAGGTGTATGCGTTCAGAGCTCTGAAACTTCAGGGTTCGAATCATCGCATTTGCCATACTCAGCCGAGCACCTGCCATCTGGACGTGATCGCATCCCTCGGCACTATGCTAGATCATCAATGCGTTAGTCAAGACTCTGAAGCTTCTAGGTACAGGGTGGCGTGGCTATTGATGCTCGCACTCTCGTGCGTGGCACCAACATTCTTACAGCCAATCTTGGACCGGAACATCTACCTTTCGCCAGAATCACGTTTACGAGACTTTGGATGCAGCGCTCCAGACATGGCTCTCTGGATAGTTATTAACAGCGTCCTTGGACTGCCATTGGAGAAGTATGCTGACGATCAGTATGACTTCGATCATGATGGCTTTCTGTCGGAAGCCAGACGGGTACTGCAAGGCGTACATCCATTTTGCTATGAACACGAAGGATCTCAGACGTTCGGTATTGCTTTCGCAGAAGTGAAGCCTGGAGACTTTGTACTTCGAACTGCTGCAGCGCTCAGTGCGAGAACAGGACAGGACTTCTTGGCGACTCCAGTCTATGGATTGATACTTCGCCCCTACCATCCAGAGAGCTCCGTGGGCCCTGCTACGTTTCGCCTTGTGACCATGTGCATCGATTACTTTCCCGATGTGGAGGATCCGGAGATTGTCGATATAATATTGGTGTAGGAGAAACATGTCAATGCAACAAACGGCAACACGGACAACGAAGAACTTGAAAAGGTGCGCCGGCGTGTGCATCGGTATGAAGAGTTCACTTGAGACATTTTTAAGGCAATGTAGTCTTCAGAGGCTTCACTGTTCTTTGATTAAGGATACGGCGGCGATGCCAGATACTCATCCGTTCAAAAAGCTGGCGATGAATGAGGATGCGTTGAGAACTGCTATCAAGCGACGACACACCACACTCCAGCAGACCAACTCAAAGTCATCACGGGTATTCCATATACGAAGTAACAACTCTGCTGACCGGCCCCATTCTGAGTCAAAAGCGCGTCCTCTTCCTGGTTGCGACGAGTCGTGGGGAACAGGTCAACAATGGCGATGGCAACCGCAATGGCGATTGCAGCAGCGACAAAGATGAAGCGAGCGCCGCAGATGCGCCGGTATCGACATCACTGGTCATGGGCGTCTTCACTCGCGCTGCGATTTCACAGGCTGTGTGCGAGCGCGTGATGTGCAAGATCAATATTGCGATAGGCTTCATTCCTTCTTTTCGATATGTGGATTTGGTGTTTTCGATGCTTGAAGCGTGTTCGGGAGGTTTGATTTGGAGTGGGCGTCGGCGCACCCACGTGCGTAAGCAATGCGCATCGAATGCACGGGCTAAACTGGAGGCGGAAGCCAGTCCGGGACCGCGATTAGATCGCCAGCTTGAACGGAGCTAAAGAGACGGCGTTAGCGGTGAACAGCGGAAATGCTTACTCAGGCAGTGAGGATGGCGAATGAGCTTTAGTCATTATCTAGTAAACCAAGTCGAACCTGGGACGATTTGAAGTGGCGTACCAGATGCAATGTCGTAACTTACAGAAAGAAGTACGCGAAAAGGATGTAATTTTAACTCAACATCATTATGGAACAGGGCAACATTCAAATAACTCTATACACGGTCTAAGCTAATTCATCTGCCCAACATGTCTCTGATCGAGCGGTGCGCAACCTTACACATTCTCTTCGTTTCTAGACGACAAGTTATGAACAGAGTGCGCTTCGGACTTTGACTAGAACCTGGTCTTGGTCCGGACTGTTTATTCATATTTGAAGACGCTCAGCATGTTTCCGGTGCCCCCGCAGCTCTCACGTTCGTCGCCAATGCATTTCCTATCACACTGTGAATTGGGAACGTTCTGTGTGGCAATTCGAAACTCATGGTCGCAATAGCACGCGTTATATGATACTCCGAAATATTTCCATCCGGCACATACATTAGCGCATATGCCAATTGTAATGTATGGGTTCGAAGTAACGCGGGCTGTGAGTAGTTTCCAGTTGGTATTGGTGTAGCATCCGAGGTACTGGAACTTCGTCATCTGAAATTTCTGCAACTCCATCTTTAAGTCTTGCTCGCGGAGAATATATTCCTGCTTTTGCTTGTCCAACTGAGCTTTCAGTTCATCGTTGTGAGAGAGACATTGGGTTTTGTCTGCCTGGCAGTCGTCGTTGGAAGGGCAGCTGATCGGATCGGTCTGGTATGTCGAAGGAAGAGTCTGATTGAAAGCTATTCCGTTTGTGCAGGTGCACGAGCAGTTCGGCTGGCCTGATAAGGGGTCGGTGCAAGTGACTGAAGGCTTCACACCTGGTTTATAATGTAAGCTGCTGCAAATAGATAAATCCGTTAAGGAGAACATACCATTTTCGCATGTGTACGCGGTCCCAAAGAGGTCGACAGAGCCTCCGAGTACTTGTTGCGTGTCACTGCCGTAGATATTGGCACAAACACCAGTAGCAGAAATAATCCAGGAAAGTTTCATGGTGATACCGAGTTGTCGAGTAGACAAATAGAACTTCAAGATGTAGAGTTGTTGGATTGGCAGAGAGAGGTTGCGGCAAGGCCACGCTCTTATGTTTTGACTCCCAACTTCATTCTTCTCACGCACTTCAAGGTACCCAAATTGACGGGTACCTAACTCACCAAGATCTACGTGACCATTACCATTTGAAGGCAATGCGTTCAGCATAGATTGAGAAGTTCCGGAGCTATCTCTACACTGTGGTTGGGAGAAGTAACCTCCAGTGGTACTGTTTCTGGGGCCTTGCTTTTGCTACCACCTTCGCGACCTATGGCTTGTGCATCTCGACGAATGCTACATATCCGAAGCCCATATCGCTGTGCTTTCTTTTTAACTTGATGACACTACTGTCGGCCCGAGCCGTATCGCTGGAACAACTCAACCATGTGCGTTGCCGACATTAACAGCAAACGTTTAAGGCGGATAGAGGGGTTCCGACCAAATGGCAGAGAGGACAAGTAGAGGTTCTACCACACAGATGAATTGACCTCAAGAGTAGATTTGTCCCGTTGATATCTCTTCTGAAAGAACCAAGACCATGCACTCCTCTTTGCTCCTCACATCCATTTTACTCTGCCGCATCACTAATGCGCAATCTGCATTACATCTATCCCCGGATCCACAGCTGACATGCCAAGATGGTAATTCTCCTCCATCCTTGTAGATGAACAGATTTAACAGCTAATGCATGACCTTAGGATACATGCCATCTCTCTCATGCGCTGAACCGCTCCCAGTCGATGAGCAGTGCTCCTGCACTTGCAGTGATGGGGCGAAGTTCAACCAAACTCGTCCTGATTTCACGGGCTCGATCCCTATCACTCCAGCCCTTGGGGACGGAGAAAAGATGGAGGGCAAGCCATGCACCACAGAGATTATCCACCCATGGATAAACATCTCAATGCCTCGCACAGCCAACACGTTGGAGCCCAGCACGATTTCGTCTAATATCATCGATAACCCGGAGGACAGCATCTTACTGGTAGCCGACTCCAGACAGAGATGCCAAAACTTTGTAGTGTATATCGACGATGTACGTGTCGGAGTGACATCTGGAGAAGGTGCGCTTGACGGCACGTGGTGCGGGACTGGTGAGGAATGCATTGAGAACCACGGCGGAAGCCATGCGTACTTCAAGCTCTTGCAAGGTAAGCATTTCTTCTTTAGAGCATTATTGTGATCTTTGTGCTAATTTCCCATGCCTCCCTTCAGGACGACGCAAGATTGGTCTTCAATGGGTCGATGTTCAGGAGGCATCCGATAAATGCAAAGAATGGCCCGAAGCAGTTGGATCTTTCCAGGTGTACAAGTCCTGTGATCCAGTAGTGTAGAAGTGCAAGTTAGGATGGTTTCTGAAGCGTACAAAAGGGCCGCGGATGTCAAACGCTGAAATTTTGTCAAAAGATCTGTCGATGTAATGATGGCAAACCCTCCCTCACTCGTTTTGCAAGCATGTTATAATCTTGAAGCTTGATGAGTGAGAGATATTGCCTGCGCAAGAATTCCGTATTCAGGCATACAGCGCTTAGACATCATCTGGAGCGTTGTGTGCTGCAGCCATGGAAAACCACATGATGCGTGTGATGGGTGCACATCGCTCCCGAAAGTTGGTTTATTTGGATACCTAGGGAGTATCACAATTTGGGGAAGTTGCCGGTCAAGAAGCGATCACTGAGGTCATTTAAAATGGTGATGTAGATAAAGGCATGAAATCGCATCGCGGTGACCAGAGGCATGACTGGCTGAGCGCGAAGCCATCTAAACACATCCTGTTGCTGCGAAAACAAAGCTCGTCGTGCAGCTGCAACAGCAGAGACTCCGTGAGAGACTTGCTAGCTCCGATCATCGAGCCGATTGGTCAGCTCAAGCACGGGCGAAACCGGAGACGGAAGACTGCCCGGGACCGCGATAAGCTTCCAAGGTTTAGCCCTCCACGCAATCCCATCACCGTTTCCAATAAGAGTCATATCGCGGTGGGAGTTTGCCTCTCGCAAGTCCTTGTGACATGCAGTGATCTTCAAAGAACATTCTCGTCGTCTCACACGCCACTCAAATCTGCCCAACTGGCTATCTCCAACACATCACATGACGTCTTCAATCGTGAGCGTGCGATTTGACCAGCCGATCGCCATCGTGGTGTTGAGAATGTTTCAGCTGGGGGGTGCAGGCTCGCGGCGTCTGAGTGGGCCGGTTGGTGGTCGCCAGTGTGGAGGGCGGCACTAAGGGAGGCCGCGCATGCAGGCCAAGTCCAACGCCACAAAATGGCGCCGGCGTCCAGGCTTGGACGCATAATTGACTTGGGCTAAGAAGAGTACCTTGTTCCACATGGCGAGGGTGAGGTGTAAACTTCACCGGATGGTGATCGAGGCCTGGTGGGCTGGTGGGAGTTGTGGGTGTTGCACGTACGGAGTGGACTATTGGAGTGCGATAGTGTACCCAGGGATCGTATTCTGATCCGGGGCTTCCGATGCTATTGATGCTGTTGCCTGGCGTATGCGCAGTGCAGTGCGACAGCAACATGTTGCTGTTGTTCTGTCTCGCGTGGTGCCACCTACTCCCACCACGTTGACTCCCCGCGGACAGCCGGCAGCGGATGACATAACGACACTGAGACGACTTGAGTCGTTAAACGTTTGCTGGCAGCGACTTAGCGGATGCGCCCCTTGGCTAACACTTAGCGAAAGGCTCCATAATGATGTAAATTGCGCGAAAAGCAAACCTTGGGCGCGCAGCTGGCAGCGACGTCGTCCAGTGATGCGGTAGGAAGACGGTGACCTGACTGTGGTATAGTGAGCATGTCTGCTATTTTCATGTGAATTGCTTTGTCGAGACTTTTGTCTGAGACGCAAGGGCAGCATCGCCAATTCCGGCAAGGAGGTGGGCTGACCGGGGCCCCCCGGCTAGCGCGGCTTAGGCCAGCCCGTACGTGTGGAAATGCGCTGAATGACTGCTCCCCCCGAACTTCGTCGTCGCTGCCCTTCATCACAACATCATCGCCGTCTGGCACACCATCCCCTCACCTTCCCCCCCACCACCGCCTCTCCACGGCCTTTTGTAGCCCTGCACGCCTGTAATACGCCCCTCTCTCCTGTATTCACGAATTCTTGCCCGGAATTTCGTGCTGGTGCGGCTGTCTCTTCCTTATCAACCTTGAGTGGC